TCTATTCCCGTTACGCATGTGCAGCAGGGAAGAAAACAGTAATACCCATCTGCCTGTAAAGGAAAATCTATGTATGGTTGCTATTAGCATATGCTTATAGGCTTAACTACATTGCTTCTGTTTTCCTTGAAAACCTCCTGAATTGATCAGTGACGCTTTAGAGTTTATGATCACCTATGCAAATTACTGACTTGTTAAACTTTTAGTTCAGTACTATCTAATTTAAGAAGTTCAACAGAAGTCAAAATCAATTTCAAAATTCTAAGTCAGAAGATGGTTCCTCTTTTTAAGAGGTTGACATTTTGACAGTAGTCAGAAGTATTCAGAAATATCTCAGATAACACAGTTATATACTGTGGAGTACATTTCTGAAAACTTTCTCCTTTCCTTTGACTAGAAAGCTGAGAGTGGTGCCTTGGAAGTGGAGATTTGTTCTTCCATCACTGTTGGCTAATATCACGCTGTTGGCACTAAGCAGACTTGTAAAAACACCTTCATTGGCCTCAGTCTTTTTATGGGTTGCCTATTGAAGTAAGCAGCATCTATTCTCCTACAGAACCGTCCAAAGAGCAGTACAGACCTTTTTCTGTAGAACAGGCGTTTTAAGTACTAGCTTTCTTATTAATATTTTGACAACTGGATGTGTAGGATTCAAGTTCCCAAATCAATCATCTCTGTAATTTGCAAAATACGTTGCAGAGTATTAGCACATACAGTAAGGTTGCACAATTAATTTTTGTCATGGCTATCTCTTATTACATGTATAGCATATGTGTGAATTTAAAAATGCCTCTTTTGTCTATTTGAAACTGTTAGTGACAAACCACTAGATGATGCTGAGAGAATTGCTGTTGATAGTTTATTGTCTTTACTCTCAGTTACTGCCTTTAAATTTAGAAGAAACTCAGAATGACTACGTGAAGCACAACAGTTTCTATTAGCATCAAGTGTAAGAACTTGCATTTTTAGTAAGGTCTAATTCTTGCAAAAGATACTGAAGTTTGCAGTTTTATTTCTCAGTTAGAAGTGTTTCATCTTTTACGAGATTCTTTGTGCAAATTAAATGTGGTTTTCTTCTAAAAGGTGTGCCTGCTGCTTCTTTGGTAACCCCTGCTGATGTCATCAAGACAAGACTGCAAGTGGCAGCTCGCGCTGGTCAGACAACATACAGCGGAGTTATCGACTGCTTTGGAAAGATTCTCCGGGAAGAAGGTCCTTCGGCTTTTTGGAAGGGAGCTGGAGGTGAGAAACGCACTCGCAATTCGGCTGACACCAAACCTGTAAACTGGCACTTGCTCTGTTAAGGACTGAAATTAGAGCAGCGTTTGCAATCTCTGATTCTGAAAAACATAACGTCTTGTTACAAGTGTTTAGCTTCTCTCCGGAAAATTTCTTTTCTCTGTTTGACACTATGATTTGTAACATTTAACAGCTCGCGTCTTCAGATCTTCACCCCAATTTGGTGTTACTTTGGTCACTTACGAACTTCTGCAGAGATGGTTTTATGTCGATTTTGGAGGCCTGTAAGTCAAATACTGTCAAATTACTTTAAGATTTTTTTAACTTTAAATCTTACTTTTTTTTCATGCATGGGACCACTTAACCTGGTGACTTTGAGCACCTGTAGCTGCAGTATGCAGAAAAGCCCCCATCCTTATGTCATTGAGAGAAACTTGCATGCTGTTTCTAAACAGATAAGGATATAAAAAGCCGTTTCATATTTATTTTAATATACTACATAGAACTTGTATTTCCTTTGTAGCAAGATATTTTGCACATTTTCCCCCCTCTCACTGGAAGTTAAAAGAATTTACCAAGCTATTAGTTAAAACTTAACTTCGTTTTGGCCCTGATTTCCCTTTAAGTAGTGGTCTGAACTGTTACTTGACAAGAATTAATTAAGGGTCAGCTTTAACAGCCTTCTATACTCAGACAAAAGTTTAAAGTATTCAGTTTAGAATTCATAAATTATTCAGGCTTAAGAAAACACTTCAAATACAGGAAAGGCTGGGTTTTTTTTGTTTTCTTTCTCAAACAGCAAACCTTCTGGATCAGAACCGACCCCAAAGACTCGAATTTCAGATCTTCCTCCTGTTAACCCTGAGCACATAGGAGGATACAGACTCGCTACAGCTACATTTGCTGGTATAGAAAATAAATTTGGTTTGTATCTTCCAAAGTTTCGATCTTCCAGCGTCGCCCCAGCTCAAGCAAAAAGCAGCAGCTGAATCCTGAAAAGATGTTTCAACCGAACAAAGTGATGCAGTGGAAAAAGTTCACCAGAGTAGTACTGTATCTTTTCCAGTCAGCTGCATGTTGTTCTAGCTGAACTGAGCTTGCAAATCTAATTACTCCTTTCTAATATTAATATATACCTGCATTTATTTGTTTATTTGCACACGAGGAACTGATTGAAGCTGTGGTTCTATGCCTTGTTTTAACCAGTGGCATGAATCTGTAGCCTAGACTTTGCCTTGCACAGCCTGCATTTAATGTTACTGTACATATTGTACATCTTTGTACAGAGACATCATGGCATCTATACACATACATTTATATAATGGGTATTGCAGTTCAAAATAGTTTGAAATGTACAGAATGTTTTGAAGGTGTTTTGTTAACAATCGTGACAATAAAATATTTAAAAACACTTAAGTCATTCACTGTTTTGTGTTTACAGGACAGTTGTCCAGTGTGATTTTATTTTTTTTCTCCACAGATTAAAATTTAAGGATTAGATGCACCCATTTAATGAATGTAGAGTACAGGACACAGCCTCTGAGGGAATGCATTTCATTGCTAGTTACAGCAAAGGTATTACAATGCAATCTGCTGGCTTGTAAGGGTAAGAGAGCACAGTAATTAGATGTGCACACGCAGTATTTTATTTTGCAGCACTACTTTGTAACAAGGAATTCCCTCAAAATACATGGTAGTACTAAATGTGTAATAGATCTTACCTCTATGGTAGCATATTTAACATACAATGGAGCAGAGTCAAGGATTTTTAAAGGTCTGGGGTTTTTTTGCTTATTTTCTGGCACGGAAAAACGTTAGAGGCATTTTTTCTAAATTGTTTTATTATTGAAATATTAGGTTATTCTGAGAAAAAGAAAAACCAAATCAACTATTATATTATTTTTATATGCAAACCTGATTGTTTAGACTTCCAGTTGAGTGGGATGCTAAGTAAAAGGGGAGGAGAAAGGAAAAGCTTGAACTGTTTCTAGCTTAAAGTTTATGCAGTGTAATTTTTAAATGCAAAAATGTCAGAGGAAATAGAGGAGTCTAGATTTTTGCAGTCCTAGAGGAACAGTTACACCACCCGTACAGCCAGAGAGAGCTGGGTGGGTTTCCAGCCTTGCTTACTGAAGTATGACAACCTCCAGTCTTTAGTTTTCCATGTTTCTTTCAGGCTTAAATAGCCTGGAGTACTGTGTACTGACTTGAGCTTCTAATGTTTTCTTGCTCAGGTGACAGCAGGCCAATATGAAGCATTTTAGTCAGTTTATGAAGAAATGGCTTCTTAAAAATGGAACACTATGAACGCAGACAAGCCCTCCTTCAGCTCTAGCCTCTACGCAAGGTGCAAAATCTTTTGGTGCTGAATAACACTTAGTGAGGTAGATGTTACAATGCATTGAACGTGGGACTTTGATCGCTATTCTCAAACATACATATGTTTTTTATATATATATATATAATCTCCCCCTTAGAAGGCTTCCTGTCTTTATTAGGTTTTTTTTCTATTTAAAGAATTCCCTGCTCTGTGCAGTTTTCTAGGAACAGGCTTCCCAGGAACTTGCCTCCCCTACCTCTGTATTTTGCTCTGCGCTTTTCTAAATAGATACAAAAAATGATAGGTACCCATTGGCATTTAATCTCAGTCACAGCTTGTTGACTGACTTGATCAAGGCCTTTAGGAGACTTTACAATGCAAGATAACATTTGTATTTCTTACAGCTCCAGAACTGGATAGTGTGGCCCCCAGGATGGTCATTTACAGTACCTAGCATCACTGTTGGTCTCTTAATGTTGCAGGTATGAGTTTTACAACATTCTTAACCTGTACTCAACTATTCTGGTGAGGGAGGAACACAAGCAGGAATGAATACAGAATGGCTTTTTTGAAAATTATTAAAAGGTTGAAATTATGTAAAACTAATGCCATATGACCTATACGTTTATGCCACCATCCACTGAAAGTAAGCCTTATCTATGGGATTTCTGAAAATATAACAAAAAATATTATTAAATGAGAAGTAATAATCTCAGTAAAACAGAACAAAAATTCCCCCCCCCCAAACCAGCAAGACAACAGAACATTCTGCTCTTTAAGAATTCGTGTCCCTAAAGGGTAAAAACCATCACATGACGTGGCTGTTCTTTATATAGTTCACGTGTTTCTCAAGTGAGCAGAGGAGCCGCTGGCGTCGGGCTGGGCAGAGCGTCCCAGGGAAATGTCAAACCGAACGGCATGACTCGGCATTGAAACGCGGGGGGCACTTCTGAGAAGCCAACACCAGTGGAAGCCTAAATACATTCCCTTTCAAAGCCACCAAAAAAGAGAACCTCTTGAAGACAGAACTGCTGTTACGGCTGCCTGTCTCTGTGAGCTGCTCCTAACAGAACTGAGACAAGGAGAAATAATTAAAAAAAAAAACCAACCAACAAAACCACAAACTTAACGCACAAACAATGAAAAAACCAAGAATACTTCTGGACATAAAGATGATTCAGGATATAAACCTATTTCCTACTTTTAAGCATATAAACCAGCTCTTCTGGCAAAAAAAGCTTGTGGCAGATTAAGAGTGCCAGAAACAAACCTAGAGTCCTAAGAGTTTTTACTAAAAAAACACCAAACACAAATAAAAAAAACCCCAAACAAAACCAAACAACCCTTCCCCCAATCCCCAAACCAGACCTGATGGGAAACTTTATAATGTCCTAAGAAATATATACTAAAAAAATTTAATCTTTAATAGAAATTCCAACCATTTTGGTTCTAGCCACTGAGAGGTTTTGTTTTAATAAAAATGTTAAAAAGCAACGTAAACATCTCTCTTTAACTTAATACAGAAAATTAGTAGCAAATCTGTAGTTAACAGAAGGCAAGTCATCATGCTATAGAAATTAAGTCCAATTCTAGTTCCTTATCCTGTGGAATAGAAAAAAATGGTCAACAGTAGCTGTTTTCCTTTGGGCTGATTGCCACGGTAGGAAGTGGAAGTTGGGGGTAGGAAGGAACTGTGTGATGTGTGTAGTAAAACAAAAGCAGCAGCTTCCAGGAACTTTCTGCTCTCAGCCTACTGAAGGGACACAGATTAGGGGTCAGGGCAGCTGACAAATGCTCATATAATATTTATTTATGAATCAGTCTCACCTTTTAACGCATCAATTCAAACAAAAGAACTTGGTATTAAATATGTATTTCATTAATTCAGGTCCAATTATCAAATAAGATGTAACTACAGACAAATTTTTATTCACATATATTACCCACTACCAGACTCTGAGACTTATCTATGTATAGACAATGAAACTTACTTGGAACATATGCATGCATATCCATGAGTAATTTGAAGAGTTCTAATTACAGAACACTTCAGGGATTACACTACCTAATGAAGGTTAGTCTGTGTAATATAGAAAGTTTAGTTTAGAAACAGAACTTTTTCAGAAATAGATATACCGTTACAAAGTGGAAGTTCCAGAGGCCCAATAGCAAATTTACACTGGGTTAGTGTTTCAGCAAAAGAAGTTCCTTGCAAAGTCAAAGTTAACTGTATTAAAAGTTACACAAATCCAATAATGTGCTTGTAATTTATATATAAAAGTGACAATGCAAGACCTGATTTTCAGTGATCTTAATACATTTTCAAAGTCCATAGTTAAATCCATGTATTTCTCCCTTAAGCTACGAATTTAACTGACACATGCTTATATTTTTAAGATTTGCATCAAATCATTCACTAGTCTACCACTGCTGCGGATTTGCAAAGATCTAGGCCGGGATGCGGGTTGCAGCTTCCTCTTCTGCGTCGGCTCTGTTGGCATTTATCTCTGCCAGCGTTCGACCAAAGCGGGTCCACTCGTCGTTGCGGGGAACGGCAATTTGCTGTTGACAGAGGGAACGTTATTTAAACCTACTGATAAAAACTGAGCTCGTTTTGAAGAGCAGAAAGCTTAAGTAACCTTCAGAAGAGGTTCCGATAGAAAAGCTTACCTTTATTTAGCATAACTTTTTACAATAGTGTGAACATCAAAAGCTCCTAACTAATAAAAGAAGAATAATTTGAAAATCCCATATTTAAGTCTGTCACGACACTATGACAAGCTTGCATGGTACATCTCCATCTGAGAGACTGCCTCCAAAGAGGAATACTAATGCCATGTCCGGGCAATTAGTTAAGTACTACTGCAATACACAGAATTGCAACAGCAACAGCTTCCCTGTAGGAAGGAAGTCAAGGCTGCGTCACTGCAACATGTTTTGTTCAGTACTTCTCAAGCTACCATCAGAATTCACGTGTGCCATAGTTATAAAGAAGATAAAGTCTCTACAAACAGAACCACTGATTCCTTCATCTTATTTCAGCAGCCTTACAATAATGTTTTTACTTTTTGATTGCCTGCCAGATTGCACGATAAAAAGTAGATGCTAGAATACCTGAAATAGACACAAAAAAGAAGCATCAATTTGAAAAAAAAAATTAAACCTTATTCCTCTAATCACAGGGGAAAGAAGTTAAAAGCAGATTGCTAAAGAAGAGTAAAAGTAAAAAAAAAAAGTGACTGTGTTGTAATGCACTTCGTGGAATCCATGGTATACGTACCTCTCCCACATCATATATAACTATTTGTCCCTCTGAATCACCCACAGCAATCTCTCTCCCAGAATGTGTCCATCTCACGCGGTTCAGAGCAGGATTGCCCTCCACAGTAATGCTTGCAGTTGGCACCTGTATCCATTTAAAACAGATTGCTTTAATGCAGGAGCATTCCAGAAGCTGGAGATGACAGAACTGTGCTGTATCAAAAGAAGTGCCCAACATTTCAACTGAGGCAGAGTACATAGATTGCAAAGACTCTTAGTGGCCTTAAGCTGTCACCAGTGACATGATCAAAGCAACACATCTCCCGTCCCTTGGCCAAAGTGCAAACATCCTCTCTGTCAAGAAGCACATCTGCACCCTTGTGAGCCAGGAGGCAGAGCCATGCATTCAGTCAGACACCAAGGAGCAGCCCTGGGATCTCAAGAAAGATTACGACAGAGGGAGGGATGAGATCAGCTGCTGTGGCAGGGCAAATCCTGTCCAAAGGCTAGAACCAGGTAATTCCAATTTGAAGCCATAGGCTGGCATATGTTCCTACAGATCTGCTCACTGTTCTATATGTAATTTTGAGATGGTGAAGTTTAAGTACTGAATACCTGTCAGGATTATGCTCTCACCTACCTCCAACAAGTTTTAGTCTTGAAAAGGTTTATACTATAATTAAGTTTACAGCTCACACCAGAAAACCCAAACATTCAATTCTCTAAATTTAGAAACAAATTACAGCTTCACTGCAGTATTACTAAGGCAATAGGAACAACAGTGGTGTGTGGGCAACAGGTTTGTTCATACTGTTAAGCTACAGGCTGCCAAGGCCATATTGGGGGAGATCTATAATCACTCTCAGAACATGGATCAGTGTCACACTAACAGACATTCTGCACTCTTGCTATAGGTAAAACAATTTAATTACCACCATTATTCATTATAAGGACTCATTTGACTTCCAACCTTGTAATCAAAGAATGATATCTATTACGCAGAAAGTACTAGAACTACAGAATGTTTAAGAACAACCACAAAAAGCCAAGCCAAAAGGCTATGGTAAACTCTTAACACTTTTTTCAAAGTGTACAAACACTTTTCCAGCACCATTTGACTGTTAACCCGACTGCCTCACCTCAGTGTCATTGTTGAGGTTCCACAGGTCAAGCCTGCCCATCCCATCCACGCAGGCAAACAAGGCAGGGTGAGTTGGAGACCACATCACATCATAAACATAATCTGAGTTGTCTTCAAAGGAGTAGAGAGGTTTGTTGTTCTGAAAAAAGCAAACATAACAATGCAACACCCAAACTCTGCCCTTCATACTTCTAACAGGTAAGGCAAAAATACAGAACTTCTCAACAGCATTATCAGCAATAACTACAGAGTGATTCACATTTGGAAAAAATTCCTCTGCAAAAAGCAGCCAAAAATTAGTTCTATTATTAAAGGTTTGCTTTCCAAAGCATGCAGTCTTTCTTCTGCCTGCTGCTATAAAACAGTCAGTAGGAAGCCAACACTCTACAAGATTGTAAGTGCAATGCATTAGAATCTTGTAAATCAAGCCAATGATAATTCAGTGACAGTACTTCAGAGTGTTACTTGGAGATTCTAACTCTGCTTTGCATTCTTCAGGGCAAACTAACAGAGAAAGAGGTAATTCTGGCAATGGGAATGATAGGTATTTCATTTGCGAGCCTCATAGAGTTTAACTGACAGCAGTTCTGGTGCTGTCCATTAGTCCCTCCACAAAAATATAGTAAAACATTTGCCTTATGCATAATAGGAAGTAACTGATTTTAGAGCATGATTTACATTTGATTACATTGTAATTGTTGTTGAGAACAAAGAGCAAAAGAATGAACAGAACGGATGGGAAGTATACAAATGCTGTACAACTTGAAAGCAAAACTTTATGTTGTCAATTACAGTTCTGTTCATCAGGTGTCTCTTTGCAGGACTGCCCTCTGAACCTTGAGGGCTTCACACGATTTGACTTCAGTTTCCTGAAGTTTCCTAAGTAGCTTACATTATAGCACCACCTTGTGTCAAGGACTATGAAGAAAACCACTGAACTATATTAAAGTTACCTTAGTTGTCCAAAGCTTTACTGTCCAGTCAAAAGAAGAGGTGACAAAAAGATGTGAGAAGTCTACAGGTCCAACTGCTGCGTGGCAGTTGATACCTGTGATTGGTCCCTGGTGTCCTTCAAACATCTCACTGATTCCAGCTTTGCTGTTTTGGAATACATAACCAAGGTTAATTTATCTGGAAACTATACATATGCAGACAGATAGCACTGCAATACAATTTAAATATAGCTACAACAAGATTTTGCTGCTTTGCATGGATGTCACCCCACTGCAAAAGGCTTTATCACAACAGCATCACAAAAAAACAGGTTTGAATACGATTCTTAACTTCAATGTCTATTTTCTGCTAACCTTAAGTACCACAATACACCACAGGGAGAAAAGACTCATTCAGCAGGTAACAGTGCACACATTTAACTACACTGTTCTCCAAGCTATAGCTAAAACTTCCCTTCACACAAAAAACCAAGATCCACCAGTCTTCAGGAACGAGCATAAAACTCTCACTGACTTAAGAGAAGTTGCGTGGACCTCATGGACACAGAGTTCAGACACAAACCAGTAACAATGTATCCCTAACAATCTCCTATCAGGAGTGATGAAAAAGAAGGGGGGGAAAGAGATGGGAAGGATGTTACACAAAAGTGATACAATTTTGGGTATTTTGGAACCAGAAAGCTCTGCAGCAAGGGTGATGTGTATTTGAGATGAAACCTGGCCACTCAATTATATTTAAGAAAGCAATTGATAAGATACAGTCAGACAATTTCAAAATAGATTGAACAGCAGGAGAAGCACTAGCCAATTTAAGATTTGTGGGTGATGTTACTGTACGATTATTTATAGAACCTGTATGAAGTTTGCAATGTTCTGCTACAATTCAAACGAATAAAACCGCAGTGACCCAGGCTGCCCTCCTCACCAACACAAACATCTAGTCACTGAGGGCAGCGTAATACCTCGTCAACATTCCAACTTCTGGTTTTAACAAAGCTCTTACTCAGGAAAGAGTGCACACTGGAACTCATATACAGCTACTCTGAACTCCTTCAAGGCAAAAGAGTGTAAAGCATGCAGGGACTAACCCTTTCACTATTTTTATTTCCTTTGAATAATTAAAATTTGTGTTCACCTGCCATGACGGCACGCAGTGTACACTGAGCCTTCTTCACTGCCAACAACAAAGTTGTTGACGTCTCCAACAGGGAAGGACATGCAGGTAACAGCCACAGCCTTGGACTGTTTGTGAACCAGCTCCATGCTATCCTGTAGTGAAAATAACACCAACTCACTTAAAAAAAAAATTGAAATATTAACATATACAAAGTCATTTAGATTTCTCAGTGGAAGGGGCTTTTTCATTATTTTACTTGTGCAGAATTGGGCAGGAATAAGGAAGTTATTTCTTTCTAAAACAGCGTTTACCATTAACATAAGTGCAACAAAAATATTCAAAAGGATCAATGGACAATATTTGATTCCATGAGTGCGGAAATACTGCATCAAATATTGCCAAAGTTGCCTTAAGTATAATTTTGTGTGTTGAGAAAATGTTTATTAATGCTTTTTAGATTAAGTTTTTACAAAATATTCATCGGAATAGATACTATATATATCCAAAGTTATCTTACCTGTGGTTGGGAAAGCATGTCCAGACTCCAAGAGCAAATTTTCCCATCAGTTGAGATACTAATCAAATTATGAGCATTCTGGGTCCCAACGACATTTACACAGTACACTGGGTGCTAAGAAATGCAAAATACTATCAGAAAAAGGAATTTCCAGGTGACAACCAATTCTGGTATAACTGATATAAAGGAAAATATACAACTTCAGCATTTAACAAAGCATAAAATACTGATCACAGTATGGTATAAAGAGCAGTCCTGTATAAAAACAGTACTTGTTTTTCTGACACTGATTTTTATGAATAGCCCTGTTCTTCAGTGGTAGCATTGCCAAAATATGGATGGAAACATTTACGCATTATCAATCAAGTGCACTGGACAGAGTTTCTAGAGGTTAAACACATCTCAACAGGGAACAGCCCTTGAAGATCTTTCACCCCCTACCGTGTGAGCAGCAGCCGAAAGTGGAGTTCTCTGCACTGGGGTTCTCTTATTGCTGCGATTATCCCATAGCACTATTTGGCCTGAGTATGTGCCACCAACCACCAGATTGGGATGAAATTTTGCAAATGTAGCTGACATCACTGCTGACTAAAAAAAAAAAAAAAAAAAAAAACAAAACACTAAAATACACAGGAAACTTTCAACAATGCTACGTCTAAAACTAAAGAAAATTGAACCAAATACCAGAGTAAGTTCTTTGTCTAGATTTATTTGATATCCTATTTCATTGTCCAGTCACTTAAGGATTCACAAACCCTTTGTGAACCTGCAGTAGTCTTTTAATTTTAATTCTTACTCATAAAATAAGGCTATCCTTGTCTTTTCTTTCATATGTATACATATGTATTTGTCCTAGCACAATTTATTAGCCAGGGAAGGCCCAGTAATGCCAAGTTTTAATAATGTTTTGCCGCATTCTGTGGTCATTTTCTTAGAGAACACACAAATCCGTTCTGATACCATAAAGTTAGTTTTGCAATCTGGGCTTTGACAGTAGTCTGACAACACGAGATTAAATTTTGATTCAACTACGTAATTTTTCAGAATTACAGCATTTTGAAAGTAAAGTGGCTATCCCAGCCTTGGCATAATGGAAAAGATTTGCATGATTTTATCTTTCAGAAAACCACTAGAAAACCTACATCTGCCTTTTCCTTGATGCATATGTTTCTAGTTTCCATCTTTGCTCCATCTCCTCAGGCCATCTTTCTTCACTTCATTCAATAAACTAAGCTCTAGTAGTATACAATCCCACTCAATCCCTTTACATACAAACTTTCTTTGTGGTTCAACAATTGCACAATAAAATAAGAAAATTAGTTCTCAAGCAAGACTGAATTTTGAATGACGTCAGAAATTCTGGAACAGAATAATGTTTCTAAACTGACATCTCTAGCTATCAACATCTGTTTGCAAATACATATGGTTAATGTGAATGCCAGCTCAATGAAATCATTATGCTGAAGGTACTTGTCCAAGTTCATCAACATAAAATCTTTAGCCTCTCAAGACAGAATCATACCTGGCAGTGAAAGACATACTCTGGGGTAGTTTTCTTGTACTTCATATTCCATACAAGGGCCACCCCATCAGGCTCATGAGGTGCATCCTCATTGTTGTTGTAAGAGGCTACAAGCAATTCTGGGTACTGTAAAATAAGTGAAAAAGACTCAAAGTAAGCAAGATGACTAGCTAATGGTCAAGACAATCCTAGAATCTTTGTCTTCTTTTGCCAAAATAGGGTTAGAACACCCAACAAAAAACAAAAGCCACCATATTTTATATATAAATGAGAAATTGTCAGTTAAAACTGTAATTGTTTCAAATTTAGCTCATAAAACAACATTCACTTATACATTAGAGTCTTGTTCTGTCTTTCATCATAGCTTACTTTTAATTGTAAAACCCAGTAATTTGCAGTGAACTTTTTTTAGTGAAGCTAACAGTTACCTCTACAAAGTAGTGCATGAACCAGAAACAAATATGCCAAAGACTTATGTCATAATACAAACCGTTGCTACTTTTCCCATGAAAGATTAACAGCTGTATTTACTTTTTGCAAACTATGGAGCATGTAAGAACATGGTGAGAAATACAACCTGTATCAACTGAACTTATAGAAGGGTCAAGTGCACAGAACTAGAAGAATTTACAAAGATAACTGCTTAATAGAAACATTATTTTTTACCTGAGATGACCAGTCCAAGCAACTGACAACACGATGCTTTGACCAACGTTCATCAAAAAACTGCCTATTTAATGACAGTTTTGCTCCTGCTTGAATCTCTCTATAAAGACAATTAGCAGATATTAATCTTAGATTACTTTTTCAATTACAAATATTACACATCCACAGTAAAATATTCAACATCCATGTTACCCTTCTTTGTCTTCCAAGTCTCTTCCACTGTAGTCAAAGAAAATGTTGATTTGCTCAGAAAGGGCTCTTTCAACAATCCTTGTGGAGTGATCAAAGAAACTCAAAAATTCTTCAGAATGCAAAATCTGTTGTTTTTCCTCTTCTGTCAGCTCATGAGGGGCAGCTAGAAAAAGAATTATACATGCATTCTCTGGACATCATACTTTCACCAATTTTTTCCAAGAAAGAAAAACAGATTATTTATCATGATGTTGGAAAGCTTGTTTCCTAACATCCATAGATTTTTAAATACACTTTTACATTTTTTATTTTGCTAGCTGATTGTTAAAATGTAAATCAAATTAATTACAACTTAAAAGAATGAAAAGAAGTTAAAAATGCACTGATGCCTTTCTTTTCGGCACACTCAGAATGTCTTGAGGTGAACTGTACCTTCTTCCTCCTCCTCTTTTTTTAATGTTTTTTCTTCCTCAGGTTCCACTAACGGTTTTGGTGCGACCACATCATCTTCATCTTCCTCATCTAAGGAAAAACATTACGGTGAGAATGCCAATGCTTTTTAAGAGGAACAGTAACATGCCATATGAATCTCAAATAAGCTGATGTGAAATGGTATCGTTTAGCTTAAAATGGTTATATTTGTAAAATGTAGTCCCCAGGATAACATTATCCCAAACCAAAAGCTCATTGGAACACTGTCTGCACCTGGATTTTAGTTGCACTAAATTATGTAGTTGTATAAACTGAAATAAGACACCCAAGAAATTGTAAAGAATCCAAAGTGGAAATCTCTCTTACAAGCACTTATGATTCCACACAAAACCATGTGGTGGATGCGTGCTCTCTGTAGTACACTGACACATTAATGCTGCAGAATAAAGAAAAATCAAATGTCTAAAATAGTCTACAGAGCAGCTGCTTACTTGTGATCTGAAACCATCAGAGTCTAATGGGTCTTCACATGGCATGAAGATGGCTTACATTAGCTTTCAGGTTGCTATTCTGAGAGGCAAATTTTGCTAAAGATAATAGCAGGGAGATTACATTTTTTCTGTCATTCTAAATGCAAGTCTCATTATCTGTATCATGTTTGGCAATGAGAACTTTACAGCAAAATGTGTTTTCCCTAATTGCAATGAATACCATAAAATGTTAATGTTCGGGAATACTGACAAGGTTTACAGCACTTTCTGCTTTTCTGTATTTTATTCTTTGAATACTGTAAACCAGAAAATAACTTTAAATTACTTAGTGTTGTGGAATATACATTTCCTGGGTTTTCTTCATCCGCTTTCTGGAATAAGCTTCTGAAAAGACTATTTTTATTGGTTAAACAGCTATGTCATCTGTTTATAAGGGAATGGCAGCAGGAGTCTGCCGTGTGCCTCATCACACGTAATGAGACAGTATTCAACAGGGACTACGCTCGTTTGTTGCGGCCGTCTCCCTGACCCATGTTCAAAGTTATCTAACAACAACAACAAAAAAGTAAAAAAAACCTCCACATGCACACACACACAAAAAAAAAAGGGAGGGGAAAGAAAGGAAAAAAAAAAAAAGGTGGTCAAGGGATGGGAACCAGCTGCCAAGCCATGGTCCCAGCAGCCAGGCCAGCTGACTAGATAGCAACAGCCAGATGGTACTGCTAGGATTGTCTCTCCCCTACGAGGTGGCAATGGGATGGCACAACATTTTTCTGCCTGACTGCTTCCAATCATGTCTTTCCCCAATGGCAAGCCTGTGCAATTACCAGCACTCCAGGAGGTCTACAGACAAGCCTTTACCCTGCAAACAAAATACAGCTTGTAGGCCATACCAGCTGCCAAACCACACACATAGTGATAGGTTTAAAGAGGTCTGAAAATCTTTCTAACTCCATAGTATAAGCAATAAAAATATAACCGTACCTGCAGGAAAGAAAGCTTTAAATGACACTGTATAATGCACACAATAATACAAACTCCAACTTAATCAAAATGATAATGACGTATGCCAATCCTACATTACTTGAAATTGAGCGATTTTTACGTTCTGACAAGTTTACAGAACTAGGATAAATGGCATGAATGATTTCAATATATGCTCATACTTTTGAACCAAATGGTGAAGGTTAAAATCTTTCCTTTCAAGGGCCTCAATCAGCCACAAAGGAAAACAGTAATCACTGTCTTTTCAGCCAGCCCAACCGCATTTGTCAGCCCTTTCTCCGTCAATGCAGCCAGAGCAATCAACCTGCCAAACATTCAGAATGGAAAAACAATCTGAAAATACAGGGTATAATGCACCTGCCAGTGAAAATGGCCATTTCAAGAAAAGCTAGTGATCTCAGTGACCCTGCTGAGGAGGCGGTGGTGCAAAGGGGAAAGAACGCGTAAAAGAATTCTTAGTGATCTCCACTCTCTTGCACATTGACACTTCCTTACAAAGCATGCCAATTACAGCTTTTGTGCTACTTAAAAAAAAATGAAAGCTTTTTTGGGCAAAATAATCACGCAGAGAAACAGAAAGACACTGCTCCTTTTTAGATGGATTCGCATGTACCGCGGAGTAGTAATCTGAAAACTGTATAACTTGTACCAATTCTAAAGAATGGAATTCTTAATGTCAAATCACTATAGGTGTGAACACTGATTAATTAAAAAATGTAATATGAGTTAACACACATGATTTTGAGAACAACAAATACAGGACTACATATTCACCTTACAGCCACTTGGACAGAAATCCCCCCCCTTGTTCGCCCTGCCAATCAATCTTGCAGATTTAAATGATGCCTTCAAATTCAGAAATTTGGTTTTGGGTCACCCTGGATACATTATTCTAGCTTTGAAAGTCCCAAATTAGAAATTTCAGCCCAACCCCCCATTAGTCATACTACACTGATTCTAAGTACCATTTTCAGTGACAGGAGTCAAATTCTTGTCAAATGCAGATGGTCAACCCCTTAGTGCTAAGTGACCTTCTAATCTACATATTTTATTCAAAAGATCATATAGTTGATTGCTCCTGCCTTTTAATGTTTGAAACATAAATGGCATATATTATACAGAGATCTAAATTCCTTCATAGTACTTTCACTGCATACAGCCAGCTGATATTACTGCATTTAAATGCAGGATACAGCACTTATTTTAATATTCTCAAAGTATCAGACTTGAAATTGAACATGTCATCTCACTGTGATTTATCTGTAACTACATAAATCTAAAACCTTCTCTCTAAAGAAAGAAAAGCCATATGCAAACTTTCTCATTAAGGAATCTGGAGGAAAAAAAACCCACAGGCCACACAACACAACCCCCTCCCTCCCCCCCATACATGTTCTTGATCTCATTATACAAAACTAGAATGCTTTCTCACAGAAGTTTACAATCAAAAGAGGCAGCATGAAGCTGTTGGAAAACAGAGAGATCAGAAATTTTTGTTTTAATTACTCCTGTCTCTCCTTTATTTTGAATGTATTTAATAACAAGCCAGCTGTGGGTATTTGCAAGGAATTGGCCTAACGGTAATATATTACCCAGCAGAAGAGAGTACTTACTGAAAGACTGGACATTATATTGCTGAAAAAGTTCCACATCTAGTAAGTCAAGAACCCATGGTGCAGTGATGCACTGCATTTATTTCAAGTCAGCTACATAAATTTGGAAACCTTAAATGGCACTGTCTAACTTCATCCTCTGTATTCATTATTGACTGCACCTACTGGCATTTTATGCCACCTCAACTGTCAGTATACCAAATACAATTTTGCATTTAAAAAAGGCTGCTAAGACTTAGAAGAGTCATAGGGCCATGAAGACAGGAAATGGGACTCTATGTCACATCAACATATTGATGAATATTCATTATAATATGCAAAGGGATTAACTCCATGTTATTTCTGACAAGCGATCAGGGGATCTAAGGCTACAAACTGAGCATTAAAGATTGCATAAAAATAGAAACTACTTAATAGTGACAAATTTCTTGTCAATGAATGTTAGGAACAGCTTTAATGAACAACTGAATTTTTACTTTGAGTTAAGATCAAAATTGTGATGTATTTTGGCAAGAAAGAAAAGTGGTGCTGTAAATTAGACTGCACCGAGCAATAACACCATAGAGTGAAGTTCCAGTTGTCTGAGTAATCTGTTGCTGCAGAGTAGGTTAATCAAAGTTAAATCATCTGTGAAATGGGTGGCTTTTGTTAAGCTGAATGTCTTCATATCAAGTTTTCCCATCTATATTTCACTGTATATTAAAGGCATGTACAGAATAATATATACATATAAAAGGGTCCATTATTTCTTTTTAAAATATTAAAATGTAAAAGTGCTACATTTGCTGTTAACAGCACCCAAGAAGCCAATCCTGTACACCAAGTTGTTATTACTCTGCTTAAATCAGAATTAAAAGGACAAAAATGCTTAATATTCTCATTCTCTGTCTTGCAGATTTTACCAGACAGTAATTCCTCAAAGAGCAAAGCAAATGCAGTAATACTGTCTGCAGGGAGTTGTGATTGCACACGCAGAATATTGTACAGCAGCACTAAGTAAGTAACAAGTATCCCTTTAGCCCAGGAAAAGCCTTAATTGTGACAGCTGAGCAGAATCATATTGCCCTATATGCCTATCTTTCTTTGCATAATTACTTGAAGGATTCATAACACATTTTTTGGATGCACAGGTGATAAATTTGAACAATCCGTTAGCAAATCACAAAGGAAGAGATCAAATAGTATAGTAGAGAGAAGTGTAACAAGAAGATTAAAAAAAAATTAGCACTACTGATTACAGTACTCTGCATGGTGGCCGACATGGAGCCTGCAGAACATTGAGACATGTCTCAGGGTTCACCTATGAACTGCATCTCTGTTCCCGAAACTGCTTCTGCTGCCTGTTAGGAAGAAATGAGTCTGTGAAGGGAACACAATTTCAAACGTATTTTCAGAGAGCAGACCCGAAAATCTGCTGCCTGATGGAGCGTGCCAAACAGAGGCTAAATAACAGCCCTAATAACCAGTTGACCACACTGACTAAAAAACATGTCCACCAAAATTGGGCAATGAGGGAAGCAGGTAGCAGTGTTACACGCAGCATTGTGGCAAATGAGAAATGGATTTAGATAGCAGAAAAAGGCACAGCAGAACAAGGATGATGGGAAATGGAGCAGCCTAAACACAGGATGATCCTGTTATGATGGTGACAAAAGTTACCAGGGTAATAATGGTGCAGAGACCTAGACACTTACAGTTATTAGTTACGAAATAAGGGAGAACAACACCAAGTACAGCACAACACTTCTCAAGCCAAAGTAAATTTTTTTGGTCCCTAAACAAAAAAGATGGCCATCATATCACAGAATGACTAAGAAACAAACAAACAAAAAAAACAGATCAGGACATGTCAAGAGAACAAGAAAGAGAAACTGCTGTATTCCTCAGAATAATGAACCATTTCATTATTTCATTTCTTTTACATAATAAATACAACTGCTACAGAAACACTCAGATTAGGAGCCAACAGCTATTAAATATTCTGGAGAAAAAAAAAAACCAAAAAAGTGAAAAAAAAATAATAATGAAGTACTGAAGACAGACACATGTCAGTATTTTCATCAAAGCAAGAAGTTTGAGAGCACCAAGATGACAACCCCAACACCATTTCTTACTGCATTTCTCTTTTATATCCTTAGTCACTTACTTATACACATGGGACACTGGGGAAAGAAAAGCTGTGAGTTGCACCCATCATACGAAAGGCCCATAAAACAAGTACTGCAGATTTACCTTCTAAGTCTACTTTGGATATGGACATCTTCCTACGAGAACTGTGAAATGTATTAAGTTCAATTAATGGGGACACTGAATATTCTATACTGTTTAGAATACTGTGAATAACTTCCTGTGGCAAATACTTCATGCTCTAAAGACAACTTATCTCTAATCACAGAGTGAAATCAATTTATGGGAGAGATCCTGATTTTGTTGTTTTACAATATTATAAAAAGAATCAGTCTTCTCAAGACAGGCAGCTTCTCAAATACTTCGAGGTCATAATAAATCAACACATTAGTACTGCCATAAAATAATGGAAGTTGTGAGAATTGTTAGTACACTAAATGCCTCCATCTCTAAGCAAGCTGTGACGTTTCAACATCAAGAGCTGGGCATCCCACAGCAGATGGCCTTGTCTTTCTGTTATTTTGGATACAACACTTCAAAGGGGTGGGGGTGAAGAAATGTGGAAAAGTAATAATTCCAGCAGTGATACTTTTTTTGTCTTAGCATAAAGAGGCTACAGTGCCACCAGCAGTGAGGTCACATTTAGCTCTAGCATCTAGGGCTGCAAGCAAACTGGTCACTCTTTCATTACAGATGGACCAGGTCACCAGCTCAAAACAGTTGTAGCCGAGAAGCTTTGTGTCCACAAGACAAAGGGGGGAGTTACTGCATATGTGAATATTGTCTAGGATGATGCAACGTGTCTGCACTATACAGAAGCATGAACACATGAACAGTCTACCTCCCTTCTCTAACTATGGAATTTTCCTGCCTTGGATTTCTTAACTACTGAATGCAGCCTTTTCTATCAACTTCTGAGATGAGTGACCCTTGAATTTTAAAACCAGAACTGTTGAGCTGGAGGATACTCATTATTTGAATTTAACTGTTTGTTACACTGACTTCAAAATGGGCATCTCATCTCCAAAGGCCAACTTTAAAGTTCAGGACATGAAATCTCTCCTATGTAACTTTTTTTTTGTGCTGCCATAAATATTTCCATGACAATTAGGAACTGTTTTAGTAGCAGCTTTCCCATACTTCCCATCTGTCCTACTAGACATACAAGTTGTAGCTTGAATGTTTCCCAATTTAGGTTATAATTTAAACACATAATCATTGTAGCACATAGAAATGGAATTGGTTTTTTATTTTTTATTTGGTTTTGAGTTCGTGTTGGGGTTTTTTCCCCCCCCAAATCAGTGTTAGAACAATTCAACCTATAGACAAGTAAATATAAACCTGCAGAATGCCTGCACAGTATATCTAATAAACTTACTTCTATTTTCCTTTGTTCAAAAGCACAGCTTCAACAGCATTTTAAAATCTCAAGATATGATAATTAAAAAAGGTCCGATCCACTTAATTTCATAATAAAGTGTGAATACTGGAGCTAGACTAGTTGAGATGCAACTAGTCACTGCACAAGCGAGCTACTGAAGATTACTTGTATGTGTAAATTCAGTTGCAAGCCCAAATTTCACGTGTACTTTTTAAGATTATCTTCAGTTTACAGGATCCTGACTAAAAAAAAAGACCCTCAGATTGTGAGAAGAAACAATAATCAATGAGATACATTCTGTCTGATTTGAATTAATCCAATTGCACTCTGAAAATTCAGCACCTTGCTTTTGTCAATTGTTTTAAAGACTTCAAAATTTTCTACCCATAATCAAAATCTGTCACCTAATGACTCTTTCTAGAGGCAACAGGATTTTTTTTTTAAAAACCTATGTTCTATTTCAGATATTATCATAAATTGTGATCATAGAGCTTAATTATGAATGCATGTAGGCAGTCTTAAAACAGACCTTAAGAAGATCCTCAACACTGAAATGATGAAAAAGCATCTGTAAGTTACTTTGGTGAAGTACACATACATGGCCCTCAAGAAAATGGTATTATTTTTATGGTGGAATGGATCAAGAGACAACATCTGTATTGAGAGAGCTTTCTAGTAAATGCAGAAGTACAGATCACCCATCTTTCCAGCTCCACTACAGTAAAACTCAACCACAGCCTATCTACTGAGCATGAAACTAGGCTTGTACAATCCCCAGCAATTTCCACTGACAGCAAGCAGAAGCAAAATTCTTCAAGTGCTCAAACTACGAACGAAGTCCTCAGATTCCATGAACCTGACAGAGAGAAGGAAAAAGCCTGAGGGATTAGAGAAAGGAAAAGGTAAGGGCATGGGAGAAATGAAAGCAGGAAAATCCAAAATGCCTATTTGTGCAGGGATACAGATAAAATTAAGAATGGAAAAGAAATGCAGTTAGAGAAAAAGCTTATTCTCTGTTATTCTGGCTCACTGAATAATGAGGTTTGAAAGATCTAGTTTGTGTTCTGAAGACACACCAATCCCTCATACTGGATACCCAGAGATAAGAAGGGAAGAAACTTCTCAACACAAAGTATTGTTGCAATTTACTTCTTTTCTTTTCTTTTCTTTTCCCTTCCCTTTCCCCCCCACCTTAAACTCATTCACAGTGTCATTTGCATCTAGTTAAACTTGCCAAAGTGACTTCAAGATACGATCCAGACAAGAGCAGCATATTGATGCAGACTGGAGCAACAACAACAATTCTGCATCACTTGTATTACACTTTATATCATCTATATTACACTTTCAGGTAAATTATACAGTTTCTGGAAACACCAGCATAAGATTTCAGTTGACTATTCTCTTCCTGTTTTAAAAAAATGCTTTTATCTCCTTGCAAAAGATTTCCCATACCCAAAATTTCACATTCTAAAGAGTAGGAAGATGCAAAATTATGAATGTAGAACTAGGTCATAAAATTGCTAGCAGACACATATTCGAAGTCAGTCATATGAAACAACTAAGAGATTTTGTTGTGGAACCACATACGAAGTAGGCCAAGATTAGTATTTTCATTTGCAGCTAAACTGAAGTGTTTCAACATTGAAAAGTAACTTTATTAGCAAACTATGTTTTCTTTGGAAAAATTTCTTTTCTGAAAAGCAAACAAGTCATGATTGAAAGAAAGCATATGTTTAATTGCTGAGAACAGAAACTGCATCGGTTAATAAAGAAACGAGTTCCTTCTTTTAAAACTCAATGTATAACTCCAGGTATAAAAATTCAAATTCTTAAAAAGTTGGGCATTTTAATGGCTAAGTTTGTTGTAAGGATACACAGCCTTCAAGTAAGTTGCTTGTGGATTCTTAAATGTCATAAATGCAAGCTATACCCCACTTTTCTCAGTTATCAGCTAATTAAGAAACTCTGTGTCTAATCTGAATATTTACTAGGAGTGAGAAAATAGCATGTATTAGTAACAAGACGAATGTTAAACAAGATGCAGAATAACAGTGACACTCTTAAGCAAGACCTATATGAATTTAGTAATAGAATTTATATCAGTTATCTCACAGATCAACCTTCATTTTACCTTATTAAGTTTCAAGATCACAAGTGCTGGTTCCAATTCAGTCAGTCGTCATTATTATAATAAAAGAAAAATAACTTAGATAGTAACAAGTTAACCATTCACCTTCCTTTGGCTGAGTCATAACAGGTGTTTGCGTCTCCTTTGTATACGTAACAATTTCTCGAGGAGGAAAGTCAACTTGTGTAATTTTGGCCATTCCAAGTTTAACAGGTCCACGTCTAAATAAAATTAACAGAGAAATCAGGAAAAATATTTAACTTTATGAACGACTTCACGTTTTGCCTAAAAAACCATCCAGGTAGTCATGTTACAACACTGCTAAGTCAAACTTAACTCCAGTAGAAACTTAACTCTGAAGAAGTCACTTGACTATGACTAATAATTTATCATCATTATTTAAAATCAGCAGCTATTTATACATCTGCGACAAAAAGAAAGATGTGCAAATACACATATATGGATTATAGGATAGAATTTTAAAGTCTTGCTCTTTGTGGTTGACTAGGGTACTGCTATATATATGTATGACATATCCCTGTTTTCAGTGGAACAGATCTGCTCACGAGTCATGCTTGTATGGCAGTGGTTCCAGGATTTTAAAGTTTGAAAACCAGCTTAGTTATTCTGAAGGAAAAAGCATTTCCTAGTCCTTTTTAACTTTGCTGCCCTTTTTGTCTGTCTACTTCCAAAATACTACTTAGCATGCAGAACTGCCAGTCTAATCTGAAACTCAGACACTAAAGTGATTTATCCATAATACATTACTCCAGAGTACGAAACTGAAAACCTCTGAGCTTTCTGACGTTAGCTTATGGAACCATAAACAGCAGGTATAGTTAGTATCAAACTACTGTGCATAACATACTTCCAAAAACCACACAAGATGAGTTCAGTCACTGTAACTTCCTATAAAAAACAATTTCAGTATATATTGTAGTAATATTGGAATGATCCAACAACAATTTAGCTATCTCAAATTTAGTTTCTTATTATCCACCCCTCTCCTAAGATAAAAGCAAAAGAGTAAACCTTTTTGAAAGATTATGATGGGCAGAATCATAATTCTTATAGCACAATATGGGTTTTAGTAAGTGCTTATAATGAGCTACAGCTTTTTAAAACGTATTTATAAATAAAGATGGGAATCACTCTGGTTTAAAATACAGTTATTCTAAGCTTTTAAAATAAATTACTTCTTGAAGTTTACATTTTGCTAAAGAAAGATTAAAAGGAAAAACAGGAATAAGTAAGTTCTGTTATTAGAAATAAGCATCTTATATATATTAAATAATATAAAAATTTTCCATCGCAAGCAAACTTCACCAAGTCTAGGCATAGTGAATTTCTGTAACTTACAGAACAGTCTCTTAAGACCAACTTGAAGTCTTAAAGAAAAAAAATAATTAGCTTTTATACTTATTATCCGTAAGTACATGAAAGAGGGAATATAAGAAATCTATGCAATACCCCAGATCGGAATCAGAGTGGAGCTGAAGAACTGATGGATCAGTATCCCAATGCAGCGTCCTGATACCCCAGGTTGAACAACCATGCAGCATTAGCAAAAAAGGCCAGAGATTAGTGAAGCAAATACACACTACAAAATGCCAGAGTTACAGTAAGCTATAGCTATTTCATTGTTCACAAGAAACAAAAGCAATGTAACATTAGTTAAGGGAAATTCACCAAACTTTCAGTGCAATAATACATGCAGTAAACACAAAAGTTAAAAAGCAAACACAGGATTCAGAGCTATTAGAAAAGAATCGAATTATTTTAAGGACTGAAAGTTAAAGATCTGCAAACAAATGTAGCCTTTGTGAGAGGTAAATAAAATATTTTAAATAACAAGAACCATTAAAAGCTTCAACTTCCTTTTAAAAAAATCTGTTCAGATTTGTGCATGTCATCTGAAGACAGATTTGTTAATGTAACACAATCTTGCCCAGAGCAGTAAATATGTGGAGGAAACTGTCATATTGGTAAAGGAAATGAGTCAACACATACGCCTTTTTGTAGAGGGGCAAAACACATTTCCACTGGGATAGAGAACTGCTAGAGTTTCCAAATCTGACATTGCAGTAATTACGGGTTAAGCACTGCCTTGGGCTTATAAGTGTCATCTGATTTAGAGCCAAGTCCATTTAAGATATTTAAATCTCTTCAAAATAGTGGGCTTTATATTAATAACACATTTCAAAGTCATCTGGAATAATGAACAGAATAGATCCATTTCAAGTCACTTTTATATCTGAAGAATTATGAAGGGGGAAATAAATCTTCCTTCTGCCTTCATTTAGTCTTTATCCCTTCTCCTCAAATTTTCATTTAGTCTGCTGCCTGCTATCAGGCTTAGGCAGAATTTAAGGACAATCTTATAACAGAGATTAACAAATGAACACACGTTTTTTCTGAAGTTCTTAGATGCTATTATAATTTTTTTAAATGTTATTTTATAACAAATACAAAAAATAAAGAATATGTAATATTTTACTATGAAAAGTCAATAAAAGGTAATTTTCCATTTCCATTCCATACATGGTAATGTTCTTATAAACCAGGTACAGAATTCTGAAAGGTAAAGCTGATCTCAAAAATGTACCAGCCATACCACTAAAACTCATGAGCATGTCATGAACTACCTTGTTCTTGTAGAAAGTATGCATCAGAAGAATAATTAATTATTGTTTAATTAAGAACTACAAATCCACTGCCTTCACATTTAGCAATTCATTCTGTGTAACTGCTATTGCATCCACAGCAATAGCTTAATACCTAAATCCCTATTCTTTAGGTCTCTGCTATTTTTCTTGACCAAGAAAGCTTGGAGTTTAATTTTGTGCCCGTGACTTCAGGCTGGATATTGCTAATATTTCATTCATCGAATTTCATTCATGCATCAAAAAAAGAAAAAAGAAAAGAAAGAAAATAAAACCAAACCACCACTACCTCAACCTTCATGTTGCTTCTGCAAAGAATGACTTATCTAGAGATCCAACTGCTGCATTGCCACAATACTTGTCAATCATTTTCTTCACTGTCTCATTCCTACTTAAGAAGAACTTGGAGAAAAAGGGCTACAAACTTAAAAGGCTCCAACTTTTGTGCCTGCTTAAGACCTAGCCCTTACTGAGGTTGCTTTCCTGCTTTCATTCTTTTAACTTTCAACAGTTGTTTCAGAGGCACAAGGTATAGCCTGCCTTTTAAAAATAGTTTGGGTCAACAAGCAGCACAGGATATACAGTTAAGTCTCTCAGAGATATTATTTTAAATACAGGTAACATTCTGAGATAAAATTCACGTATTATACATGTACCAAAGTGATGTAAAATGCTGTTCCTTTTGCTTTCCAGATGTTTCTTATGCCTTAAGTGAAATGAATTTATCTAGAAGCCTCAGTGAAAAGATGTTCCCACCTTCTACATACGCCCAAACTTTTCTGTATCCAGGCATATTTCTAATGCTGCCTGTATCTCTGAAAGGTATTTTCTGCATTTAAACTAATTCTACAAAGCATCCACCTAGCCTAGAAGTAAACCAACTGCATTAAATTCCAGTCTTGAATTTATACTCTTAACTGAGGAAAAGAAAGAAAGAACTGTATCAAACTCAGAATCAAAAAACCTTACCGATGAAAATAAAGCAAAACAGGTTCTGAACACTGCCCTACTAATTACTAAAGTTACTGACAACACTTAGTATTATAAAGGAGAAAAGACTAAACTAACAAAGGAGATCATCTTTGTAAAGTATAGTTGCAGCATGAAAAAGGAACTGAAATAATACAGTAATATGAAAGGGTTTGTTTTAAGATTATCAAATTACTAAGCATAACAGAACAACTTGGGCTTTCTAACACATCTCCTATTGATATGAAAGTCCCCTGAGAAATGCCAGGTATAATGCTAAGGGATATCACACAGTCCAGCTTTTCCCATTAACTTTCATGTTGAAGCACAGGTGTACGTTAGGAACACTGCACAAACTGGTACTAACACACGAGGATATCGACATCTCCTTACTGCGGGAGGGAAAGAATGTTATTCAGTGGTGAGAGAATAAGCAAGGGGACTCTGTGACTCTATATGGCCTTGACTTTAGCTAGACATTCATACCTCCAGGACTTCAAGATTCAATCTTTTTATGCTTCCATGTCTGGGAAATTGTCAAGGCACAGATTTAAAGTTTGCAAACACATGAAGCTACAGAGGATTAAAATACAAGCTTTCTCAAGGTTTCATAAGAAAATTTATTTATACAACATCATGTTATGATGTCCGAGAAACATACAGAGAGCACAGTACACCTCAGGTGGAGATCAATTTAGTCACAACATGGCCTTCAATTACAGATATGTGGCCTTTACATACTGTTTCATATTGAATTTAAATTATGTATGAATGGAAAGAAATTATTATTTTTTTTTAATTAAAAAGTCATCATCAAATGATTCTTGGGGATTTTTCTAGACAGTGAATTTAAATATAGACTGACAATTTAAAAAGCAATAATCACAGATTTAAAATAATTTAAAATCTGCTTGTTGCTCAGTTAACAAACAATTATATTCGTTCTTTATTAACGTGACAGGTGAACTTCAATTGCATAGTAAATAAGCTATACACAAAATCACACCTGGGCATTGTTAAAAAAAAGAATTTGGGTTCATATCTGCTGCCTGATGTATTATCCATTTTAAATGAATGGTTGCTACTTTGAAATAGGCACCTTGTAACCTTTGTTCAGGTCATTAAAATCTTGATTATTTTCAGATTAAGATTGTATATAGCTATGTATGTATAATCCATACACATACAAGATGTTACGGCAGTCTTTTTAAAAGATGTTTCAAAGCAATGTAAGTATTCAATCGTTCTCCAAAACAACTGAAGTAACTGATGATAACTGCTTCAGTAACTGCTTTAACTAAACTTCACCCAGAATGCATACTCAGTACATTTCAAGTACATGAATTTACTTTGCTGAGAAAACATAAGTTAACAAAATTGATTAGGCAAATACTATTTCCAGACTGTGCACGGGAAACAGTAGAAATACCCTTTGGAATAGTGTTTCTCACTTATCTCCCATGTATTGTCACTTTGAATTCCTAGTTTAACAGAAATATTTATCTGACTCTCTTCAGAGCAGCATTTCTCAAATTGTCATGCACAAAAAAAGGTCAAATAAATGTGGATCTGAAAAAAAATCCCATGGCTTAAATACATGGTGCTATCTTTTCACCAAATGAGAGAGATTGTGAGTGGTATAGTTGTGTTACAGAGATGGCTGCAAAGTGAAATAGCAAGATATACTGTTCTGAGTAAGGAAAAAAAAAATTAAAATCAGAAGCAAGGCAAAATTTGTAGACGGTATCTTTTATTGGACCAACTAGAATAGAGGGGGGAAAAAGAAATATACACATCCTTCTTTATAAAAAAGCTGGGAAAAGCCCAGAAGTTTAACTCTTCCAGTTTTCTATTGTCCTGAGACATTAATGCATATGAGAACATTACCACAAGACATTCAGATTCATTTTACTTTAAACTTGCAAGTTTAAGTAACTCCACATTAATGTTGGCAATTTCAAATTAGGAAGTGCAGTTGCATTTCAAATTTTAAAGTACTTCTGTAGAACAGTCACCGTTCACAGATTCAGTAACACTGTAACCTCATGTTATTATATTATAATCAAGTAATTAACCTCGATTTCTTCTCAAGCTTAATTGTTCAGTACACAACCATTAAGCAAAGGAATATGACATGGAAAGCGACATACCTAGATCCAACAGCGCCATCACCAGAGTCCTGGCTGCCAGCCTCACTTGGCGTACTCACGGATTTGGAAGACGGAGAGGTAGGAGGAGGGACTAAATAGTGAAACAGACAGGTATCCGCTGTTACTACTCGCAGAGGTTGCACAGCTTAGGATGTTTTCAAATTAATTTAACATGAAGTATTAAAAAAAAAAAGTGATGGCAAACAAAAAATACATGGATGAAAATGAACAGTAGAAAGAGAGGGGAAAAGACAATGTTAACAATTCATGCTGGACTTTCATGCAGTTGTTTGGCATTTATGCATCTGGAGCATACAAAAAAAAAAAAAGACATGGAGGGAAAGACATTTAAGAGAAAATGAATTGAAAATGTACTTTTAGTCTGAACTTCTGACCAATGATGGAATCAGTTTTCAAAGTGCAATTTCCACTAAATCATGTTGCTTAAACAAAAAAGGAAGGCAGTTGTTAAAATAGCTTTGACACGAGTTTTTCTTAAAAATTAGGTATTGAATGTATTTAATGGGTAATTTTGTTTCAAAATATATAATCACCAAAGCATGGACAAAAAAAAAAAGTGGCTTTGTCATACAGTATATTGTTATTTTTGTTCTAGTTTGAATCAAATAACATAAAACCTGTGTATCACAACAAAGTTTCTAGTGTTGGGTTTGGGGGTATTTTCATGTTTTCTTTCTTTTTACTTGACAGTCTAGTGCTGTTCTATTAAAACTTTTAAGAAAAGGTCAGTTCATTTTCAGTATGTAGATGAAGATCCCAATTATCATTTAAAAAGCAACATGTTTTTTGGAACTGATACATAATAGTGAATGATAACATGCAACCTGATACAAACACAAGGCTATTTTGATATTTCTTTCAACTTTTCTTTTTAGAAATAGTGAAAGTCATTATTTGAAGAAACTTAGGTTTATGCTGAAGAATCAGGTTGAAGGGCCTTATACACTCCACTTTTCAGCAATATGTAAAACATTCATAAGACACGATCACTCCTTAGCAACCCTTAAGAAGAACCTTGAACCAAGGAAACACAAGTTATGTATATAAATTGGTATCCGCTGTGTCAGGGGGAATTCTAAATTTAGATCTGCAACATTTCTAGAGGATTTCCTGAAATCACAAGTAGATTGTGAATTCTGAAGAATGCTTCCATCCCATCGCAAAACAGAGACATAACTGTGGTTGACAAAAATTCTACACTAATTTACAAAATCATCACAGTGAATGCTTCAATTTATTAAATTCATACATACACACACTTTATACATCTATATAAATATGGATGTATATATGAGTGTATATATATTCTTCAACTCATTATCACCATCTACTGAATAATTTATACGAAAGGAAATACCCATAGTCCTTTATATTCCTACATTATTTTTTGTGCGTTATCAGAAACGATGACATTTTAATGTAACCTTTTCTTAACTGAAGGGGTGACATTACAAATATATCTTGTTACCATTTACAAAAGTCAGCCAGCTCTACCTAACAGTGAGCACGGCCAGAAGAACTCAGTAGTTTAGTTTTGATGCCACAGTGCCCTCTTGTGGGGCACACTGTTTTCAATAAAGTTTTCCCATTGGTCTCAGATTTAAAAAACCAACAATCACACGCATCTCCTCAGCTGTCTTAGCAAAACCGCACACAAGATGCCATTAAACTATTAGACTACCAAACAAAAAAAATCTCGAGTAGGTAAGAACTGATTACTTAAAACGCTGTACTCTAGAGCTAACGTGGCCTGAAGGCAGTTTCCAAACTGCCAAAACAGTTCAAACTACTGAAATTGATTGCTGTTGCTGTTGGAATGGGGAGCAGCTATAATGGTATTTATTCCACATTCACTTTTAAATGCTTGAGGACTTTACAAAAGCCATTATGAAGATATCTGTGACTGTATGACAAATTATTATATTTCATTCTCAAACCCAGTTGAAATAGACCCTCACCATTGAGCCAAACTGAAAAGTAAGTTTTAAACTCCTTATGTTTCGGAGCTAGAGACAAAAAAAGTGGAGTTAAATTGTCACCCTCTTCACTTTTGTCTTCCAGAGAGACGTGGGCTATGTAAAGGCAAAAATCAACACCCAATATGCTAACCCATCCAAGAGCAGCATGGGCACGAAACATCATCCTTAACAGTTAAATTTTATACTTAGCCTTGCTATTACTCCATCAACATCAGTCAGGTATTTGAGATAAGGGAAATTAGGGTGTAAAAGATGCAGAAAGGAAACATGTCAACTCAGCACAAAAAAATGTCAGAATTAAAATTTGGCATTATGAAAAAGAGAAAGGAAAAAAAAACACAGAAGAATAATGTGCATGGAAAATAGGGAAAAAAAAAAGAACAAGTACATGATACTTATAAAGACTCAAAATAATCCACCAAGTGCATACTTTTTCCAGAATAGTACTAGTGATGTGTACTGGAGCACATCATTTCACACTCAGAGAGATCACACAGGACAAAATAGTGCAAAACCCAGATATGTACACCACAAAAAATAGAGGCCAGAAAGTTTTCATGCTAGTTATATAAATAACCCACTACCACCACACCTCCCCCAGTAAAACCCAAACACACCCTCCACCCCACAAAAAACCAACCCAAACAACCAAACAAGAAGTCCCCAAACATTTATCTCAAACTAATATTAACATTCCTACCAACAGGAGACTCAGGTGTCAACCCCATGCTCTGAAGTAATGCTTCAGCTTCTCTTCTCTTCTTTTCAAGATCAGATTCTTCTTGTACAGGAAGAACTTCTTTCTTCTGATCAGTCTAAAAAAAGTTCAATAATTATAGCATTTAACAGGTATTAAAAACAGTTCCTTTTTTTTTTTTTAAGATATCATAGGTTCCTTTATGCTACTGAAAGCTATCATCATATAGGTTAGATACTTAACTGTAGTAATTCTGATGGTCCTTTACTGTAGATAAAGTAAACAGACAGGAATGACAAAATTGCTCCTGCCTTTAAAAGACATATAACGTGCAAACAGCACCTTCTAATTTATCAAAGTAACTGACACTTCATAAGATCAATAATACCTTTTTCTACACTAATGCTAAGCACTGTAAAATGCAAAGACTGAAAAAAAAAAAGTACTATGTGCCTGTGTATAGAAGTATTTTAAAGACATGGTCATATTATTCCAATTTTGAAATGACAATAACTGTGTCAAAGAAAAAACTATAGGGTTAGAACAACAGTAGAGACAATCCTCTTTGGTCAAGAAAGTATTAGGACACTTGGCTAATCAGTGCAATCATTAAAGTGTGTAGCAATTAAGAAAGTATGTGTAAAATGTAAAAGTGATGATTGTCTATGTGTGCATTTTAAGCTATTTTTAAAAACAAAAACATCAACAAGCTGTTCAGTGAGAAAGCATTCTTTCGGATCTCAGGTTTCACAAGAAAAATAGGAAGTCTTAAAAAAAACTTTGCAGCAACTTCAAGTTTACAAAGGCATTTAAGGAGTTTTCTTTAAGGTGTGGTATTTGCTAAATTTCACATACACAAAAAAAAAAAAAGAACAAAAATTACACCCTCATCCCCATAATTTAGAAATAACACAAGCTCTACTGTGAAAGCTGCTGAACATTCTATATCTTTCCACACTCATTTAGCTACTCATTCAATTACAGAAATATGTTTTGTATCTTAAGGTGTTCAAAACGCAGTCATTGGCATGGTGTTTATTCCACATTCGCAAGTGAGCATTTTATAAGTATAAATTGATGATACAAAGACAAGTCTTTAATAGAAGCAGCAAAATCTAGACCAAGCTATTCTATACCTATGCCGTGATTAAATACTAATTGCTCCTCGCTTGACTGCACATTATGTTTCTAATCTACTGCACAAGTCCTTTTAAGAAAAAAAAAAGGAATTCCCAAGTTTTAGAGCAAGTTCTCAACTGATAAACTATTACATCACATGTGGAATCGCAGATTCAAGCAATACACTGTTACAAGAACATCAGAACACAACCCCAGATATTTTCCTCTCTCTCTGAGTCATGTAGCTGGCAGCTGCCCAGCCTTCAGTCATACGCTAATTTACCACAGCTGCAAGATCATAACCAAAATGCAGAGAAGTCTTGAAAAAGTACCCCAAAACATTCCAGCAGAAGTTGCATTTATGAGGTATAACCTGCATTCAGGAGAAACATGGTATTAAGTCACTGACGTCACGTACTTTTGTAGGGAGAAATCCAGAAGACTGTTAACAAACCAAATGTAACACACAAGCAGCACACACATCTTGAGTGTTGCTCTGATTTTAAAATTCAGGCTAAAATAAGTCAAAGAGAAGAATGTAGCGCATTGTTTGTACAATAATGCTACTGACAGACAGACAATTCATATGGACATCCTCAGAACAGCACTTCAGAAATGAATTAACACCATCACAGCTCATTAAGCAGAGCTTTTGTGCAATACTTTGCAGTGACTTCATTAACAACATTCCATGCATAAAAGTAGTTTTAGAAATCCAAACTTTACACGAGTGCAGGATTTTAAAAAAAAAGTTAAAATCTAACTTACCATATGGATAATTCTAAAGAAAACAGTAGATGTTTGCTCTTACCAGAAAACGAAAGTGCTACATTTGCATCAGCAACCAACCATTAAATAGACACTCCCTGAATAACATGTAGCCGTTGAGGCTTTTGGTGGTCGCCTCATCATTGTGAGTCCATTGCATTTTGGGCAAGTTGCATATGCAAACAGTCAAATTTCAAAGAGAAAATTATTTCTTACTTCTTTTTTCTTTCTTTCTTCTTCCTTTCTTTTCTTCTCCTCTCTGATTTGAGCTAATCGTTGCTTCTTGCGCTCCAACTCCGCCTTCAGTTCACTTTTGTCAGACATGGCTGAAACACTGATCAACAGAAATGATACCATTGTTTGGTTTTGGGTTTTTTTGCTTTTAAGATAGCAGCTTTCCTTTAAATAAGCTATCATTAAGTCAACTACACCAGCTTTTTAAAACCAGAACTGTGAAAAGTCTTAATATAATAATTAATTAAAAAAAAAAAAAAATCACATTCCTATTCCACATTTCTTTCACTTAACACATTCTCAATACTAAAGCAACTGATTTAAAACAAAACTATGTTCAAACAGAACTACGACATGGTGACAGCATCCATTCCCAAGGTAGTTCTGACACTGATTGAAGGAACTGCTTTGAAAGAAACATCAGACACCAAAGATAGGGCTATCTGATCTTGCCATTGGATTCTGTACAGTGCCAACTATGAGATGAAAAGAGCAAGAAAAGTACCAATACAATATCTATCTTTTACTTTTTACTTCAACTTCACTTGGCATGCTATAACTTAGCAGTATATAAGCTATATATCCTTCTACATACAGTTGTAGGATTAAAAATACAGATTTATTATAAGATTCAGTAGGATTACTATCAATTGCAACAGAAAGTAAGTACAAGTGCGATGGCTAAAAAACCCTGTAAAATATGTGCATTATAATTTTTTCCCCAAACTTTCTGTATGCTGCTAAGAAATTGGTGGATATATTAAAAACAAAAATTTAACAAAAACTTTTCCTAAATGGCTAACGCAGTTACATACAGACAAGGAAGTCAACAGTAAACAAAAAATTTTAAAAAAAATCCACCGCAGAACGTAACAAAGACTTAGAAAACAGGGATGAAAAAACATGTAAATGGGCTGAGTGAATAAAAGCTTAATTTTATTATTTGTGAGCAAATCCAACCCAGTAGAGAAAGCACAGATGCAGTTCTACAACAAAGAAGGGATCCATAAATGCTTTTACACTAAGCTTGACAACAAGGATACTGGATTACGCATTAGTAGTATACCTACTCACTAATTCAAAATTAACAATACCTGCAAGTGTTTGCATGGCACACCTAGGAACAGAAAAAGATGCAAAAGGATGCGAGCCTCATACATCTACCCCAATATTCTTAGTAGCATGTGCATTAGGGTAAACGTACGTATCCTCCATGTTGCCTGCAAACATTTAAGTGCTAATAAATAAGTAAAATCTGCTGTCGGCATTTATAAATGGCATTCCCGTGTCGCTTCAGAAGGGCACTCGGAAGCTGCGTTGTCACCACACCACCCGTCCCTCCCACCGGCCCGGGAAAGGCAGGAGGCACGGACCGGGGCACCCCAGGGCGGGGCCCCCCCCGGTGGGAGATGACACGGCGCCAACCAGCTGCCGCCGGGACCACGTCCCCCGCCTAAACCCCGCCCGGGCCCCACCAGGGCAGGAGCCTGGCAGCGCACCCCCACCCTGGGCGGACCCCGCCCCACGGCACCCCGAGGCCCAGGCGAAGGCAGCGCTACCAAACCCCCCACGGAACCCGCCCGTACCCCCTCCCGCTTATCGCGGGCCGCCCTCCCGCGCCACTCTGCTGCCGCGCCCCACAGGACGAGGCCGAAAGACGGAGGGTCCCCACTGGGAGGGGCGGTGGCGGCGCCCGGCTCACCTGGCAGCGGTTCCTCCTCCTCCGACGGCCCTGCTCCGCTTCCGCCGCTTCACAAAGGCGCCAGCAGCTGACAAGCAGCGGCCTACGGCGGGCGCCGAGGGTCACACCAGCTCCTAAAGCGTTGCGGGATGCGCAGGCACTTACAGGAAGGACACGGAGGCCTACACCGTACCGCGGCGCGCTCGGACACCAACGCTCCGCTCGCCCGCGCTGTCAGGGAGGAGCGATCTGACAGGGATTCCCGCGGGGAATCAGCGTGAAGCGAGGCTCGGGTGGGGTGCTCCCAGAGGTCCGGCACCAAACCCCGCCGGCGGAGCAGCCTTGAGAACAACGACGCCCGACATGCAGCGCGCCCCACGGAGCGGGCCTCGCCCTCGGCGCCCTACGGCGTGAGGGTGGGGTGGCTGCGCTTTGCATGATGGGAGGTGTAGTCTCTTGGCAGGGCGGTGGCCGCTCATGCGCTCTCTGCTGTGGCTCGTGCGGCGGCGGGAGCGCGCGGGCGGGGGCCCTGACAGGATGTCGGCCCTGAGGAGAGCGGTCCCTGAGGAGAGCAGGGCCCTGCGGGCAGCCCGCCTGCCGGGGTCTTCGCCAGTCACCCCCGTGCAGGCACCCATCGAACTGTGTGAGTTTAACCGTACACTAGTCAGGCTGGTGGCTGTAATCACTTCAGCGAGCTAAAGGTAAAATGTATAAAATCCCGATTTGCTGTGAGTGTCAGGCTCGGGACAAAAATGACCCACACTAAATCCACACTAAATCAGCTTTGCGTTGATGTTGGCAAGAGGACTTTAGTTGCCAGGTTGATACGACACTGTACATTAATAAACTGCTTCATTGTGTGTGCTGAATGGCATAAAAGCTATGCCAAACCCAAACTGCAATGAGCTACCACTGGGAGTGACTTCACCGTTCCCAGCTTTGGAGTCCTCAGCACAGGAAGGATGTGGACCTGTTGAATGCGTCCAGAGGAGGGCCACAAAGATGATCAGAGGGCTGGAGCACCTCTCCTGACAGCCTGAAAGTTGGGTTTTTTCAGCATGGAGAAAAGAAGGCTCTGGTGTGACCTTATAGTTTCTTCCAGTATCTGAAGGGTGCCTACAAGAAATCTGGAGAGGGAGTTTTTACAAGACCATGTGGTGATAGGATGAGGGGTAATGGCTTCAAACTGGAAGAGTGTAGATTTAGATTGGATATCAGGAAGTATTTCACTATGAAGGTGGTGAGGCACTGGAAAAGACTGCCTAGAGAACTTGTGGATGCCCCATCCTTGGAACTGTTCAAGGCCAGGCTGGATGGGGCTTTGAGCAACCTTGTCTAGTGGGGGTCGTCCCTGCCCATGGCAGAGAGGTTGAAACTAAATGATCTTTAAGGTCCTCCCAATCTAAACCAATCTATGATTCCCCAGCCATCTTAAATAAATATTACCACTTGTATCCTATGGAAACAGACATCAAGTTTTCTATGTTTTTTTCATAACTGCTGAGCTAGTGCTATAGACTACTATGTCAGTGAAGATCTTCTAAAACTCTCCTTGCCAAAGTAGAATTAATACGGACAACTCATATAGTTCAAGTAGAGCATGTGTTCACAATGCTCTATGAAATGAAGTTCTTAGTGGCAGTGACTAACAGCTTGTAAAGTTTCTGCTATTACAAATTGGAATAGTTTATTTAAAATCACTGGATCTACAAACATTTATGTCTGGTGAGTATATCTTCTGAGCCCCTGCTGAAGAGCACTGGAGAAAGATTGCATTTGCAGTCCGGCTCTGTCCAGCTGCAATCCTGTTATGTATGATAACGGAACAGGTTGGTTGGTACTTTGCTGGGATAGCTCCCAGGAGAACTTGAATTGCTGCAGGAATCAGTGTTGATTATTTACTTCTCTCTAGTCTTCCATCTGAGTCAGAGTTCATACTATACCTTAAGATAAATTAGAAAAACTGTGTGTTGTCTAGATGGCTTTTGATCATTGAGTAACCCCCATGCATTTCATAAGAGTATGGGTGTTACCATTCAGAGAAACTGTAAGTGGAACTGTCAAAGAAAATTGTATGATGTGCAAGAGAAGGGGTTGCATTTATCTTCAGAGATGGAAATATGAATATGATAGTAATAAACTTCCACAAGCAGCTGTCGCCTTTGAATTTATTTGCCAGAATTTTTTAATACCACTTACAATAATGTGTGCACCTCAGAACAAGAATGTGCATTTTATTTTTGTATTTTAAGTGTGCTTCTTGTTTGGCCATAAAATATCAGTTTTGTATTTGAAGCTTTCCAGTAGTATTTTTCAAGTTTACATTTAGAATTATGAATGTAGGAGCCAGATATTTCACATTTGTGGTGAATTTAGCTAAATGATTTTTGGTAATTGATCTTCAAAGCTGAAGTGTATTTCTTTGTCCTGAACCTACATGTATCTGTTGAAGGTCATGTTATTATTTTTTACATTAGTCCTTCATCTTACACAGAAACTAGAGTACCTAATTTTTGCAGCACTGACATCCCCATTGTTGTAAATGATGGCTATAGTTTTCCAATAGCTTGTCCTGCTTTTGGCTGGGATAGAGTTAGTTTTCTTCCTAGTTGCTGGTATAGTGCTGTGTTTTGGATTTAGGGTGAGACTGATGTTGGTAACACTGATGTTCCAGTTGTTGCTAAGCAGTGTTTACACTGAGTCCAAGGACTTTTCAGCCTCTTATCCTGCCCTGGCAGGGAGGAGGCTGAGGGTGCACAGGGACTGGGGAGGAGACACAGCCAGAGCTGCCGACCCAAACAGCACAAAGGGATATTCTGTACAATATGACATGATGCAACAATAAAACTGGACGTTTCTTGGCAGGTGGTGAGCAATTGCATTGTGCATCGCTTGTTTTGTATATTCTTTTGTCATTATTATTACTATTGTTTTCCCTTCCTTTTCTGTCCTCTTAAGCTGTCCTTATCTCAACCCACGAGTTCTTACATTTTTTTCCAATTCTCTCCCCCATCCCTCTGCGAGGGGAGCAAGCGAACTGCTGTGTGGTGTTTAGCTGCCTGCCAGGTTAAGCCACAACACAGCTCTCTCTGGGTTTGTTTAGCAGTGACAAACTCACTGACAGAATGCTAACTCTATACAAAAACATTTATGATTTTTTTGGCAGTTATTGATCTCACAAGTAATTAGAATTTAAATTTAAATAACCTGACACATTTTTCATCAGCTGGAAGGCTCATGAGGTATATGGTGGGAGGACAGGTTTGAGAAAGCACACTGGTTATAGATGTTTACAAGTGAGTGTTTTCTTCTAGCCTCAGCTTCCTGGTGACAGTATCTTTTGGTATAGTGAACCCCAATTTTATAACGGTCTGTGAGAATGTGGAGAAGTTGTGCTATGAGGTGGAGTCTTCCTGTATGTAGAACTGGGAAAACAGCTTGTAGGGGATTTTATGCACTCATCCTATGCATTGGGTGTAGGATGAAGGCTTGGTAGGCTTGCTTAAGACGTGAGCACCAGATTTAACAGTGATTGTGTACCCATGTAAACACAATTAGGGTATTACTGAGAAGTTATTTTGAGACATGTAAAGGAGTGATAAAGATAGTATCAGATCTGTGCTGCAGGAGACTCCTGGACAGAAATCCAGACTAAACACAAGATACCATTCGATTCAGAAGAGCCTCTACTTTTCTCTTTTGGGGAACATTAGACTTCCACGCTGCCTGGATCAGAAGAAGGGTAGATAGCAAAGGCAAGCAGAGCCTCACCTTGCTTTGTCACTTAATTGTGCTGTTGGAGAACAGAGGTTTGCTCTGGAGCATGAGCCCAAGATTTATGCTGGAGAAGACAGTTCCCTCAAGTAACTGCCGTCACTGCGCTGGCCTCTCTAGCAATGTGAGATACTGGGAAAAGGCAGCTGGCCTGCCTTTCTCCACTGAGGCTCCATTTTAATTTTCTTTTTTCTTTTCTCCTATTTCAGGAAAATTAAAAGTCCATTTTACAGAGTTACTGGAATTGAAATAATAAGGAAGATCTCATCCCATAATATAAAGGCATAACTTTTCTGGTATCATTTAATAGTCTGTGCTTTTCCCTTAGAAAATTTTCTGCATTGCCAATACAGGTTTCTCTCTGTCCTTCTCCCCCCTTTCCTGTTCCTGCTAGATGGACATATTTTTTTTCCCTTGTGTCAAAATAAGGTGATGGTGAATGATGGGTCCTTTCTGAGATGAGAACCCTTTTGCAATCTGGTAACCTTTGGCACAAAACACATATACTAGTGAATGGTCCAGCACTTAAGAGTGATTCCCTACTAAGCATTATAGAAAATAGGTTTACCAGTTGAAAAATTCCAAGGCAAGTTCTCCTTCCTCAGTGTCGTCTGTGTACAGTACTCTCATTTTGTTTCTATTATGTGGTTAAGAGAGGAGATAATGAGAGCTTCTTAAGGGATCCTGTAATGCACCAAAACCTGCACTAGTTCTAATGGTTTTAAGAGAGGGTATGAAAACCGCCCAGAGATCAGCCAAAAGGAACTATTTTAAGATATGTTGTATGCCAGGTTATATTCTACCCTCATTCATCAAAGGGAGATTGTGTTTGAATACTTGTTAAGTTGATAGCAGAATTCTTTTTTTGTATGTATTATGTTAGCGTTATTAGCCAAAAAGGTAATAGAGTAAATAAGAAGAGAGAAAGTGTTCACTTTTTTTCAAGGGCTTTTTTTGATTTTTCATTAAGTTATTTTTCTGTCTGGAAGCAAAAGGAGTATCTTATATAATCTTAAAGTATATTTTAGACTAGAATTAATAGGAACAAGAGCACACTAAAATACTAAGTTTTACTAAAACTGAATGCACTTTTCATCCACTGACATCAAATTACCTCATTTTAGAAATGTTAAATAATTACCTGTATGAAGTACTACGTAATTATTTACAATGAAAAAAGAGTTTAAAAGACTTAAGTGACATGACCACAGGGATTAGAATTTAGGATTCCTTCCAGACTTCTATTCTTGCCATAAAGTAACATTTATTCTTCTGTAATTGTTAACTGTAACAGTTAACTTTTCATGTTTTCACATTATTTTGGGAATTAGTTGAGTCACTGACTCACAGCATCAGTCAGTTCTATTCAATAGAGACAGGTGCCATGGGGTCATTCTGCTGCTCACAGCAATGCAAGTCAAGATAAAATTTGTTCCTTTTTCAAATTATTTTTAATAAGAAACTTACTAACGTGTTGGAAGAAGGTCTGAAAAATTATATGGAAGTAAATTATAAGGCAAACACATAAACATCAATTTTTAATATAATTTTTTTCTCAGAGTATCTCCTGCTTTTTAACTCAAATAAATCTTTTCTTTTAACATA